TTTTTACTAAAAAACAAATATATGGGCTTGTGAATTGAGCAATTTGGACAATCATAGCAAGAATAATCATAAAATGTGGTTATATTATATAGGTGCTACATCTAGAAATCTAAAAGTCCAATATCAATTGCATCTGATGACTAGTATTAGACTCAAAGTGATTGAAACTCTCTTATAACCTTGAGTTCTATGTAATAAAATAGAGTATTGCCTTGTCCGATGAGCACCGGGGAGAGGAATCCAATGTGGTGTTGTAGTCTGCCGCGCTTGGGATCGAATAGGGCAACTATGCATCGGTGATAGCATAGTTCCTTGCCATAGCCGCCCCTCCTCTAGCCCAGTCAAGCTGTCCTTCTCAGATGTTGGGTCCTCCTACACCGTGGCAACCCTATGAGATGACGATATGACTAACTCCACCCCAACAACCACCTTAGCCTGGAACTCGCTCCCCTCAAGGAAATTAGAGCCCCACTTTTTGATAGGAAATGAGATGCAACACACTACCCGAGCATCCCCTCTAGGAAGGCAGTATTAGTGGATTCGAAAATAGTATGAACCACGAGTGAGTTAGATGGCTAAGCCCGCCATCAAATTGTAAACATAAAAACCATTGACCTAGCTATATCTGGCATGTGTGCAGCCTCAGATAGTTAGGGTTCAAAGACTCCAAAGTTTGAAGTGTAGGTAGATATGGTGGAGAAATAAAAGTATTCTGAGTGCACTTGTGTTTGAAATTTAAGCGGGAAGAGAAGGAAACTTATCTTAGCAACCTCATTTTCCTTTTGATAGCATTGACATGCCCATGGACTCAATGTGATCTTGGATCACTAAAATGAAAAGGTAGGTCTTTGGCTTGGTTAACACTAGTCTTCCTGAGAACCTGTGGGGGTCAACTTTCATCTCCTCTATTGCAATGCAAGGGAACTTTCCCAAGACAAGTTAGTTAAAGCATTAGTCTCTCGAATATGTTAACATTAATTACCAAAATCTACCAAGGGGGTTAGATGCACTTTCAGCCGCCCCATCCACTAGCTCAGTGGAGTTATCCTTCTCAGAAGTCGAGTCCTCCTATGCCGCGCAGGAGATGGATAGACGACTAACTCCACCCTAACAACCAACCAAGCTTGGTAGTCACTCCCCTGAATGAAACTGGAGTCCTACTCATTAACAAGAAGCGAGATGCAACACACTTCCCTAGCATCGTCTCTAGGAAGGCAGTGCAGATGCGGGTAGAGTCAAAAGCAACACGAACCACAAGTGACTCAGATGACCAAAACCGCATCAAATAGTAAATACCAATAAACACATTAGAACCATTAATCTTCGCATGGCCACAAATTCCTAAATTTAAAGGGTACACATATGCGACAATTGCCTAAATTTCCCCTAACTACTCTCTTTTCCTTTCCTCGTCCTCCTTTTTTGTGTCATGCTTCCCCCCCTCTCCAGGACATCACTGATGCGCCTCCATCTGCCGCATGCTGATGTCGGCCTAATCATCGTCCCCCACCACCCGCGGTTGGTGTCGGGCACCCCTCCCTACCCGGATCGACA